TGAAAAGTTGGGAATTATTAAAGAATACTGATTAATCTTCCAAATATCTTGCTAAATTGATTTTTTTTTACATTTTAAAAATTTACATCTCTTTTTTCCAGCTTTACAAATAACCTTAAGCTTGAAAAATAACATGAACAAAAGTTGTGCTTCTTGAGAACAGAATACTAAGGGCTTAATTCGTGTTTCTGTTATGTTAGCAACTCTCCTACTGCATGCTCGCTGATGTCTGATTTTTGCTGTGGTTTCAGTTAGTGTCATCTAGCATATTACTACTTAGATCATTCCTCTTAAGTCTGCAGAGCTTCTCCTATATTCTCTCTAGCAACTGGTACAAGTGAGCATGTACTATAAAGTGGTTATCCTAATTTAGAAGGAAATAGGTGCTTATGGGATACGTCAAATTAAAAAAGACACCACTGTTCAGCAGGGAACAAGGGAATAATGCAAATACACTTTTGTGGTAGGTATTTGGTACATTAAGTGGAATTTATATTATGACAGTTAATCCTGGCCTTTTGTGTAATGGAAAGTATTGCTTAGTAACTTGTTTTTTCACAGTGACGCTTTAGATTAACATTCCAGAGGATATAGAAGTATGGGTTTTACTCTTGTGATTTTCTGGAAGTAACTAGATTCTAATCAAAGAAACTCAGGGCCTTCACATTTTCTGATCAAGGAGATTATGGGGCCACAGAGCAAAGTGATCGATGATGTAGAGTGTGCCTAAGGAGAGTCACATGGAGAGAAAACATTCTCTCAGTCTTTCACAGAGAGCAAATTGGTCAAGCAATGGCCGTGACTCATCCACATGGCTGACACTGACAAAGGATCTACAAACTGAGGTACAGGGCTTCAGGATAAATCCTGAGGGGATTTGACTGACCTTGTCAGGTATAAAAGATACATTTCTTGTTATATAGGTCTTGCTTTACCTTGGTCTTGACCATCTAGCAGAAAAGTATGAAAGTGAAATATAAAAAGGAAAGCCATATTAATAAGCCATATTAATATGCTGAGCTGTAAAAGGCTCAAGTCAGCAACTTCAGACATTGCCAGTCCTGCGCTAACCCACTAGTATTATGGACTATTGGACTATATTGGGATATTTTGCTGAATTCATGCACCTACAGTATTTAAATGACAATGCAATACCCTTCTCTGACAAAACTAATCAAAAGGGATACAAATGAATGACCATTTTGTATCTGTATACTCAAAATAGTTAGGATAGATATACAGCTCCATTCTCTTAATTCAATGAATAGAGAGGTTTGTTCTAATAGTTTGAGACAGGATATCATGTCTGCATCTTGTACAATGAATAACCACTAAGACAATATGCAGTGCATTAATTATGCTAGTAATCAGTTGTGAAACTGTCTCATTGCTATTTGTTTCTCAATAAAAATATAAATAAATTAAATAAATAAAAAAAAAACTCAGGGCCTTGCTCATGCTAGGAAAACCACTGTGGCCTGAGCCCTTAAAGCTTTTGTTTGTCTGTTTGTTCATTTTGTGACAGGATCTCTGTGTTTCTCAGACTGACCTCAAGCCTACAATCCTCTTGCCTTGATCTGTCTAGTAGTTGGCAGGATAGGCATTTGTTGTTACACCTTGCTTAGTTTGTTAATGGTGTTTTTGACCCAACAGCATGAACTGATTTTGTAAGGGAAATACTATGAAGTGTATTTTGCTTGCTCTCCTTCTCTTACCTATGAATACTTTCACTTCCTTTCAGCCTTACTCCTTCTGTTTTCCCCCCTGAACTGTATCCTTGAGACTTACAGTAGAAGCTGTGGATGGGAGGCAAGGTTGGTAGTCTTGAGATAGTAGATAATCACAAGAAGCACAGGATCTGCAGATGACATTGTGAGTGGCATAGAATCCTGGTATCCACCAGACTGGGCAGAGAGAGTTGTTAAGTGGGTACAGAAATCTGGGAAACAGGAACCCTGGAATTTTATGGAAGTGGTATGAGATTAGGTCACAGAATAAGGAACAGAGTCCAGGCCATTGAAGGAATCAGTCAGCAGACGCGTACAGAGCCCTGGCACCATTTGGTTGCAGAGTTGGGCCATTAGGCAGCCACCTTTTGGCATCTCCGCGCAGTTCAGCTTAGCCAAGGGCTGCTTAGTCAGCCCCTGCCAGGGCAGGAGCCACTCTCAGGGTGTCGGCCCTAGAACCTGTCTGAAAAGCAGGTCATGGGTGTGCCTGACCAGAAGGGCAAGGGAGTGAGCCTGAGAGGGCCTGGCACCTAAGGAGGGTCAGGACATGTGACCACACAGTAATGATCAGAACTGTGTTGAACATCCTGTACTCTGTGATGTATGGGCCTTGCTTGTAGCTCACCCATCTTTCAGGTAGTAGAACTCTCAGACCAGGGCTGGGACTAGATGCAGGGAATCCAAGTCTTTGGTTCCTCCTGGACAAACAAACCTCTCTCTGTGAAGTGTTACCATGTTTTCATGTTTCTCTGCCCATTGACCTAAAAGACAGCATAAAGGAGCCATGACAAAGTTTTAAGCTGCTGCTGCTGCTTAAAGACTGTGTATAAAAATTTGAGATTTCTGGTAGCAGAGCTGGGGCCTAGCTTGTCTAGCATGCATAAGGCCCTGAGTTTCATTTTAGCACTACAAAAATAAAAGAATAGAATTCTTATAACAAAATAGTAGTTCTGCTTGGAAAGGAATGTTTTGGAACACAGAAATATAGGTTAATTTATGAGAAAAATATGTTTTATGGTAATGTAAGTAAAGTTTTTCTGTATCTTATACATTAGGTCCATAATAGTTGCATGCCCATATATAGTATAACTATATGTGCATATTTATAAACTTGTAATTTTTAGCATTTTCAAAAGTTTGTCATTTTTAACTGAATGTTTTGGTCTTTAAAAGACATTACTACAAAATTACTTTGTTTACTTTGTTATAAAATTAGAGCAACTTATAGGAAAGAAATAGTTAAAGTTAAAATCTCTTTTCATGGGGGCTGGTGAGATGGCTCAGTGGTCTAAAGCACCTACTTAGAACAAGCTAAGCTACGCAAGGCACAGGGGCCGCGGTTCAATCCCCCAGCACCACATGCCAGCCAGCCCTGCCCCCTGGAGGGCTAAGCTGGCCACACACACACACACACACAAAATCAATCAATCAATCAATCAATCTCTTTTCACATTCTTTTCTGATCATGTATATATTTATCAATGTACTTGCTTTTTATCTTAAATTATTTCACTTGTAGATTTGCCTGTATTGGTGTAACTCACACAACTGTAATTGTATTATACAGTAATGTAACATATTTCAATTATAGCTTTCTTATTCTTGACTATTTGGGTTAATATTTCTATTTTTATTGATTTTATTTATGTATTTATTTATTTTTGTATTTTAGGGAAGTGTCTATATGGCGTTCAGGGTCTCACTACTAGATCTGACTCATAGTGATCTACCTGTTTATAGCCTCCCAAGTGCTAGGATTACAGACGTGCGCCACCACACCCAGTCTCAATTGCCAGTCTCAGTGCGCTCCGGAGGCGGGGCTGACAGCAGGCCCGGGGATCGAACCCCGGCTGCTGTGCCTGCTTGTGGGTGCTTTAATCCAGTGAGCTATTTGGCTGGCCCTAATATTTCTATTTTTAATTATTGGAAAATATCATTAATTTGTAACACAATTTTGAGATTGTTTCCTTGGGCATTTCCCCCAAGTCAAATTAACAAGTCATGGGCAGGAGCAGTTTCAGAACTTCTGCTATGTATTATCAGAATGCTTTTCAGAAAGACTCAAGCATTACTGTGCCACTATCAATGTATAAGGCACAACTGTCTTAAAGAGTTTAGAGAAATCTGGACACCCAGAAGTATAATTACGTTATTACCTGGAGGACTAGCTGTAAAAATACTGTAGCTCTCATAAGTAAACTCAATAAAAGTAATAAATAAAAGTAATAATAAAAGTAATAAGTCTCCAGGGTGGAAAGAAAAGCATACAAATGCCAGAAATGGTAAGGGAAAGAAGTAGATCAGGGCTGTGATGTGACCTATTTAGGGATTTTTTTTTCCAACTGTTAATTGATTTGTTTTTGTAGTGAAGTATATTTAACAAATATATATATATATATATATGTACAGCATATTAACTATTTTGAAGTATATATTTCAATAACATTAACTACATTCATAATTATCACCTCTATTTTCAAATTTCTTCATCAATCCAAATGTTAGGGATTTTGCAGTTGTTATTTCAGAATGTTTTCAGCCTAAAGGAAATTCAGCATCCAAATCCTTTCTGAGCTTCTGTGTGTGCTGTGTGTTAAGCTTTCTTGGATCCTATTGGTCTCCCTCCTCTCACCCTCTTCCTGTTGCTGCATGCTTGGCTGGAGAGGTGCCCACCTGGGCAGAGCAGGCTGCGGTACTGTTGTCACGTGCATGCTGTGTTCCTGTGCCGAAATCTCCAAAGCGGCTCCATTTATGAGAGCACAAGTAGGTTTCTTTGTACTAGTTTGATAAAATTTCAAAAGCAACATATTTCTCATAGTTTATAAAAAAATGAAGAAATTGTCATTCCTTTGAGTACAAAAGTGATTATTTGTGTATTTCTTTTTCCTTGTTTTCACCTATGTTTTTGACATATTTTATAATTATGGATCTAACATAAAGAGCTTACTTTTTGTTTAAACAGCATTTAATTTTCATGTTGCTTAGTAGTCTTAGTAGTAGCAAAATAATTCATGTAGCTTAATTTACATAACTGTGCTATTTTCTTTGATGCTTAGGCTGCCAAAATTCAAAACTATTATAAATGAGCATTTTCAAACATTTTCTATGTTTATCCCTTTTGTTTTATGAGAAAGAGAAAAACAGAGATAGAATGTTCACATATTTATTAACAAGTGGGAAATAGCTCCTGCATTTTTGGTGATGACAGATGTGGTATGTTTTCATGATTAAGATAAAAATCAGATGGATGATGATTGTTTAATTTGGTTATAGGTCGTCAAAATATTAGAGAAGCATGATCCCTTGAAGAACTCCCAGGCAAAGTATGGGTCCATCCCTCCAGATGAGGCCAGTGCTGTGCAGAACTATGTAGAACACATGCTTTTCCTGCTCATTGAAGAACAAGCCAAGGATGCTGCAATGGGGCCAATTTTGGAGTTTGTGGTCTCTGAGAACATAATGGAGAAGCTTTTCCTTTGGAGTTTGAGACGGGAGTTTACTGATGAGACTAAAATTGAGCAGCTGAAGATGTATGAGATGTTGGTCACCCAGTCACACCAGCCTCTGCTGCACCATAAGCCTATTCTGAAACCTCTGATGATGTTGCTCAGTTCTTGTTCTGGAACAACCGCTCCTGCTGTAGAGGGGAAGTTGGTTGTCCTGCTCAATCAGCTCTGTTCCATCCTTGCCAAAGATCCATCTATTCTGGAACTCTTTTTCCATACAAGTGAGGACCAAGGGGCCGCCAACTTCCTTATCTTCTCCCTCTTGATTCCCTTCATTCATCGTGAAGGGACAGTCGGCCAGCAAGCTCGGGATGCTTTGCTGTTCATCATGTCTCTCTCTGCTGAGAACAGCGTGGTGGCCCATCACATAGTGGAGAACACCTATTTCTGTCCAGTAAGTCCCACTCTTCATGTTTTCTACCCTTTCCCATTTTTGTTCTGCTGATAATAAATGCTTTTTATTCTTTCTATTAGTTTTTTTTTTTTTTTTTTTTTTTTTTTTTTTTTTTTTGCGGAACCGGGGATTGAACTCAGGCCCTTGCACTTGCCAGGGACGGGCTTATTCCACTGAGCCATCTCCCCTGCCCCTCATTTCATTCTAATGAATACAAGATGTTGTAAGACTCTTCACAATTGGTTTCACAAATCAGTTTGTTTCTCAGAAAGATAGTAGCTGTTAGTTGTGGATGGAAGCATTGATTTTATTTTTTAAAAAAGAATACATATTCGAAATTTCATGTAAAAATAAATATTCTGTTTAGTTTCTTAATATGAACATGGTATGGTGAAAAATAAAGTGCAACATTCTTTGAAGAAATTGTATCTCAGGCCCAGTCAGTTCCATAGAAGAATGGGGGCTGTCTGGGACTTGTAGGAGACTTTAAGGTCCCCAGTATTTTTTGGTGTTAGTGCCTTCTTTGGAACAGATTTATTGATTCTTGTCTTCTGCTGGCTGGGCAACAGGTATCAATACTTTTCAAGCTCAATGAACATTTCTACTTTACTTCCAGTCTATTCTTTTCACAGTCTTTATAAACAATATTGCCTCAAATATGTGGAGCAGTATATGAGATCCTCAGTTTTGTTGAAACAAGCCAACCAAGTTGCCATAGATAGATTACATTCATTTTAAGTAATGCTTCTTGGTACACCCCTTAGAAGGCATTTAGGAATGTATGTGGAGTGTATTTAGTTGTTAGACACAGGGGCAGGAGGTGGTGGGGAGGTAGTTGAGCTAACAGTGTGTAGAATTCTCTGGCAACATCAGATGCTGGTGGGGGTATGGAGTAATAACTCTCTTTTGTTGCTGGAGGAAATGCAAAATAGCAAAGCCACATTGGAAACTTTTGGTATTTTTGTACAAAACTAAATGTATTCTTAGTATGTGATCCATCAGTTACATTCCTTGGTATTTAGATAGGAGAGTAAAAACATGTCCATATAAAAACGTGCACATGCATGTTTATATCAGCTTTATTAATAAATGCCAAATCTTTTAAAAATCATTTATTTACTTATTTGGTACAAGGTCTCGCTACACAGACTTGTAATGATCCTCATGTCTCAGCCTCCCCAGTGCTGGGTTTACAAGTGTGCATCACCACACTCCGCGTTCTGGGGCTGGCATGGCATGTGATAACAGGGGTTGAACCAGGTTCTTTGTGCTTTCCAGGCAGGTGCCTACACTGCTGAGCTATTTCCCCAGCCCCAAATAATTGCCAAATCTTAGAGACAATCAAAATGTCTTTTACTGGATGAATAAAAACTAGTACTGTATATCCAGGCAGTGGATATTTTTGAAGTAAAATGAACAGTCAAACCATGAGAAGACATTGAGAAACCTTAAATGCATATTATTGAGTGTAAGATGCCCACCCAACAAGACTACATGAGTACAACTATATGACATTCTGGAAAAGGCAAAACCATAGCAAACATAGCGCTTTCTACTTATTTTTTTTTTTCAAATTGGAACAGGGAGAGAACGAATAGGTGAAACACAGAGAGCTTTAGGTAGGGCAGTGAAAATCTTCTGAAAGATGTTGTAATGGGGATACATGTCAGCATCCATTCCTCCAAAATCATAGAATGTGTGGCACCAAGAGTGAACCCTGGCTTGAACTATGGACTTTGGGTGGTGAAGATGTGTTAATGTACTTGCAGGTTTATCAATGGTGAAACAGACAGGAAGATCCCCCCAAAAGTGCCAGTCCAGGAGACTGGTAATGAGAGAGGCTATGCATGGACAGGAGTGAGGGTGCATGGAACATCTCTGCACCTTTCCTTCAACTCTACTGTAAACCTCAAACAAAACAGTTAGGTCTTAAGAAAAAGGCAGTTTTATAAGGGAGCTATAAAAGGTTTCATTTTAGGGTTGAGTTCTGTGTAATTTTTTTGTAAAGGAGAGTAGGCACTGTAACAGATCATCAGAATATTTTTTTTGGGGGGGGGGCAGAACCGGGGATTGAACTCAGATCCTTGAGTTTGCCAGTCAAGCGCTTATCCTACTGAGCCATCTCCCCGGCCCCGATCATCACAATATTGGAGTGATTTACTTGAGTATGCAACAGGCAGCTTAAAAAAATAACATTTACATGGTGCAGTGAGATAGCTCAGTGGACTAAGCACCTGCTTAGGCAAGTGCAGGGACCAGGATTTGATCCCTGGCACCACATGCTTTACTGGCCGTGCTACTAGGCACGCTGAGCCAGCCACCAGAGTCTGGGTGTGGTGGCACATACCTGTAATCCCAGCACTGAGGAGGCTGAAAACGGGAGGATCACTACAAGTCTGATCTGCTTAGTGAGACCCTGTACCAAAGACATTAAAAAATAAACAAAAAGATAACATTTACAAAAACAACACAATCATAAAGTATCTCAAAATAAATCTAATATTCGAAAGTCCTTTGCAGGAAAAACCTATTGTTTTTTATTTTTTTTAATTTTTATTTTTTCTATTTTAGGGAAGGGTCTACAGGGTGTTCAGGGTCTCACTACTAGATTGGACTCGGTAGCGATTCTTCTGTTTACAGCCTCTCAAGTCCTGGGATTACAGGTGCAAGTCATCACACCCAGTCTCAAATGCCATCTCAGCACACCTGGGGGTGGGGCTGGCATGGCAGGCCCATGGATCGAACCGCTGGGCCCTGCGCCTGCTTACCGATGCTTTAATCCACTGAGCTATTTGGCCAGCCCCAGAAAAAAACCTATTTTTTTTTTCTCTTTTCTCATTTTTATTTTTTTTTCAAAATTTTATTGATAAACAGCAATGAGACAGTTTCAAATCAAATCGGAAGTACAGTTTCAATCAATAACACACTGCATATATTCTTCTTAGTGGTTAATTGCTCTACAAGATGCAGACTTGAGATCCTATTTACAAACACCATTAGAACAAATCACTCTATTCATTAAGAGAATGCAGCTATATATCTATCCTTACCACTTTGAATACACAGATACAAAATGGACATTCATCTGTACACCCCATTTTTTCTAAGTTCCGTAATTGAATATTATAGGTGTGCAAACACAGCAAAGTATTCTAAAAGAGTCCAGTAGCCCATAATAGCATTGGGTCTTCTGTTTAACTGGCAATGTCAGAAATTATTGACCTGAGTCCCCCACAGCTCAACATA